ACTGAATGAAAATCGAAGTGATAAAGGAACACTTTATTTTGACTTAGTATGTGACATGAAAGCGTTTATGCTCTACCATGGAGTCTACGAATGTTTGGCATGCGATTCGCTCCCACCAAATGTAAGATGATGTTACAGGACTGCATTGGACTACACTGACTCCTGGTTAAGAAATAGGGAGTGAAGTGGTAGAGCACGTTGACCGATTCACTTATTTGGGAAGTACCATCAGCCAGTGCCAACGGGTTGATCTCTGACGAAATCTCAGTACGGATACAGAGGGCTAGTTTCGCATATGCCAGTTTACACCGCCTCTGGCGTAGACATGATATCCGCCTGTCAACCGAAGGGCGAGTGTACTGCTCATCAGTCCGCTCCGTCCTCCTTTATGGCTAGCTGTGAGACCTGACCATTGAGAGTGGAAGACATGAAAAGATTAGCTGTCTTCGATCAAAGGTGTCTGCATTCTATCTCCCGTGTAAGATGGTATAATAAGGTGAGCAATATTGAGGTTAGGCTTCGGTCGAGTTTCGGCATTCATTTGATAAACAATATTTTATTATTATCATCATCAGTTAATCATGTTGTTGTTTTCTTTTATTTTGCTTGTATTCGTCCTCATTATCGGATATGCGCATGTATGTCACGTGGTCGTCTGTTTATTCTTTTGTGGCAAAGTTAAACTTTAAGCACCAGTAGCGTAAGTAGCAACAAACAAATGACCTTGAACGCACCAATCACGTGGTAAAGGCGATTCCTACGCATAAAATACATACGTATGTATTCATATAAATAATGAATTAAAAGGCATGGAACTCTGTTACAAAGGATACCTTTCTCTGACGTTGTGACAGAAATTCCTCTCAGTTTTGTATTGGAGTGTCAACAGACTAGTTTAACTACATTCTATATATGTAATTATCTAAGTCTTCTAACCCTAATCTTTCCTTAAGCTAACCCTGACTTTAAAATATCTCCAAACGGAACCTACTGTGGCTCTCGATAGGTTGACCCAACCCTAACGTGTCCTGTCCGTAGCCTAAACCACAACTTAATCTTTCTCAGACCTAACCTGATGAGACTTGCCAGATATCCCATTTAATAACATAACATTTCAATCTATCTGTCTGGATTCAACATAGAACTTGGCACTGAAGTGCACCAGTTCGAGTTGCCACCTTCCAAATAGCACACAGAGGTAGACAAGAAGATGAGTGAAGAGAATCAATACAGTCTGACAAGTATAAGAGTGAAACATAATGGGTAATGGTAGAAAGGAATGTGAAAGATTACAGAGACTGAATACATCTGCGCCACTGACAACGATTTTGAGCCATGTCACCTATTGTCTCCAGCCATTGATTCCTAGAGTCCCGAGGGCCCCAACCCGGGAGTCTGCATCTCCCTACCTGACTCAGTTTAACTGTCAAGGATTTCATGGATTGATGAGGCCATGTTTTTGTTTGGCCACCACTTACTCTTTTCCAACCTGCACCTATATCAGCTAGTAATGCCCGTCGGGGGAGGCGATGGTTAGGCATGCGCACCACATCACCTAGCCATCTCAATCTATGTAACTTTATAGCCTCATCGATTGATTTTCCCTCTTTGCCCAACACTCTACGCCTAACGTCAACATTACTTACCTTGTGAAACCACCTAACGTGAGACAGAGATCGCAGACATCTATGATCGAAAGCAGTCAACCTTTTCATGTCTTCAACTCGTATTGGCCATGTTTCAGAGCCATAGAGAAGGACGGAGCGAACTGCAGCTGAGCAGTACACACGTCCCTTGGTTGATAGCCGGATGTCACGCCTACGCCAGAGGTGGTGTAAGTCAGCGGAAGCAGCTCGAGCTTTTCGGATCCGTGCTGAGATTTCATCACCATCAGCATTTCAATAAGCATACTTTATTCATGATCACAATATTATTCACCAGGTTTCACTTACTTGCTCAGTGAGCGTTTCAAGGTCATTGGTAAGGTCACACTCCTATCGACCAAAGCGCGCGGGTGTACTGCTCATCAGTCCGCTCCGTCCTCCTTCATGGCTAGCTGTGAGACTTGGCCATTGAGAGTGGAAGACATGAAAATCCAGGCTAGCTCTCTTTGATCATAGGTGCCTAAGTTCTATCTCCCGTGTGAAGTGGTGGTATAATAAGGTGAGGAATATTGAGGTTAGGCTTCGGTCGAGTTCTGGGTAAGGAGGGGAAATCAATCGACGAGGCTGTGAAATTACATCGACTGAGATGGTTAGGACATGTGTTACGTATGGCCTAGTCATCGCCTTCCTCGATGGGCATTGTTAGCTGACATAGGATCAGGCTGGGAAAGAGAAAGCTGGTGGTGGTCAAACCAAAACATGGCTTCACCAGTCAATGAAATCTACAACAGTTAGTTTAAGCCAGCCACGTGGGAAGGTGTAGACTTCCTGACTGGTTGGGGTCCTCGGGACAGTAAAAACCACTGGTTGGAAACAATTGGTGATATGGCTGAAAATCGTTCTCAATGGCTAGCGCAGATTCATCCACTCTTTGTGACCTATGATTTACAATGAAGCTATATATGGTTCTTCATTATTACTATTCCTTTGTCTCACACCTCTGTTTACTATCTGTATTATGCATTTCTTCTACTTTCTTCTCTTGCTTTGTGTGGTACATGTAAGGAGTGTGGCGACTTGAACTGGTGCACATCGGTGCAAAGTTCTATGTCGAAAACAGATAGACAGATAGACCATGGAGTCAGCCAAACAGCAGTGTAGAGGATAGGATCAAATGCAGATGTGTTGCTGAAGCCTTATCTTCAACTCGAAGCCAAATGGAATCACGAATAAATGTTCTCTTCCCCCCCCCCCCCAGCCTTATGGAATAATTGATCTCAAGCTTAAAAGTAGACCATTCATGTTCTACTAACGACACGTTCACAAAATGTCAAATGTCATTCGAAAATCACTAAGTCTTCAATCTGTGATGTGAAAATTCTTTTGACTTGCATTGCATTTCATTCAGTTTGTATGAAGAATAATTATCTAACTGAAAACCAACATACTACCCTAATTTTGCGTTCGAGAAATGAGGACAAACTACATAATTTCGCTTCATCTACGTATACCTACCAATTCGACTGCAGCTGCGGAGACAGATACATTAGGCAGGTTTATCACCACATTTCCGAACATTATCCTGTATGCTTAAGCAAAGGAATAAACAAGATCCATTCGTAGCCCTGTTTTAGTAGGCCTTGTAGATAGTGAGCATAGAGTTGATGTTAATGTAACATTTAAAGTTATTCATTGCATTCCTACTGGATCTTGATTTTGCTTTACGAGTTCGTCTCTTCTACATACAGCTGAAGCCATAGGAATCCATTTGAAGGCAGCAAACCCGTGTGTTCAGAAGAAATTGGTACAGCCACTTTTCTTACCTTGGTAATCGTCACATGAATTTTATAGACTTAGCTACTTGGCCCTCCTCCTAAACTTGTTAAAAATTATAATTATCCAAATTATTTTTTCTGACTACTTCATCTTTAATTACAAGTTACCATTATTCAAATCGTTCCACTTTTTTGTGATCATCTGTTATGTAATCCGCTCGAATACTCAATTATTCTTTAATTACGCTTTATTCTTCCAAAATTATGCATTATGCAATCCACATGTTGTAACCATTTCTATTCTTTAATTGTGCGTATTAACTTTCTGCGTCAATTATCACCCGTCGCCTTGACATGTTGATACTGTCTAATTATTCAAGTATTGGTTTTTAGGGATTTGATAGAATGGTTATGGGATTTCATCACGAGTCGACATCGATTAGAAAGCCATTGGAAAACTGACAGTACGGGACAGCTGCTTCATCTTAGTTTCAGAATCTTTAGCAGGACACGCCCAACACAGGTGGTTCCAACCCAGAACCTTCTGGTTTCAAGGCAGCTTGTAGAGCATTAAGACAAGTAGGTAATTACCTGGGGTTCCTAGTGGGAATTCGTGACCTGTAAGGGTGCAGCAGATCGGTTTTGAGGACAAATATTCGCAGGAGACATTGGCTAGCGGTCGCGCTATGTTGTGAATTGGCAGAGTTAGAATTCATGGGCTAGCCATTGGACTGAGTCACAGTGGTTTGACGGTCTACGAGCTCGCTTTGTGAACCAGAAGATCCTGGGTTTGAACGGCTGTGGTGGGTGCCTACTGATGAAGAGTCGCGAACTAGGGCGAACAGATGACTGTCTAGTACTCCCTGCTGGTTTTCTAACCGACGTCAGCCCATGATGAAATCCTGTGACTAATTATTGTTAATAAATACATCGCCACTGTATTGGTAGAACATTTTTGTATTGTATTAAAAAATGCTAAGTATGTGTGTATTAGAGTAGAGACAGAGTGAGCTGGGGACCTAATTGAAAAGTGAATATTCCTTCCCTCAGTCATTTTGAAAATTAATCTAGTACTCACTAGTGACTGACTGCAGGATAAAGTTGCCTGGAGTTCTAATCAGAGAAGTTCATGACCATTAAGGCCCACCAAGTGTCCAATGTGAGGACAATTCTCTCTTGCCGACGACATTGGCTGGCTGAGACTATCTATATAAATATATATACATATATCGCGAGTTGATAGAAGTTAAAGTCATGTAGACCATTGGATTGTGTCTCACTGGCTGAATAGTCAGCAAGCTTGCCTTATGAAGAGTTCTGGGTTCGATTGTGTGTGTGTGCGCGCGCGCGTGTGTATGTCTATACTGGTGAAGAGTTCCAAACAAAGACAAAACTGACTGATATCAAGTCTAAGAGTCTTCAAACCACCAGGTATACGCTACTTTCAAGTTATGACAATCTGTGACTACTACAGTCAGTTCTGAAATGAAATCTATCTTAAGGAGCTAGCTTGTGGTGGTGGGCCAACACACACACACACACAGAGCATCTGAGCTGGCTATAAACAACAGCAAGTACACCATTGTGCTAAAGGCATCTCTCAAAAACAGTGAACAGAATTACATACATTTAGATATGTATTATATAGTGCATAGGGTAGTTTTTTTTTAACTATTCATTTATTCATTCACAAAACTGCAGCAGATATATGAGAAAGGGAAGAGAGAGAGAAAGAGGCAGGAGTAACTGTCACAAAAAGGGGAGAGAGACACACGGTGGTAGAATATGGAGCAAAAGACTAAGAGTAACAAAAACGCAAAAGAAAGAAGGAGAATACACAGTAGAAGAAAAAAAGAAACAAACACAATCAATACTTAATTAACAATGAAGACGACAGAAAAATCATGTAGACATATTTGTATAATTAAAAATACGAATGAACGGAAAAATGTCCGTTTGTCTGCTTTCAAAAAAGAATAATTATATAATCAACATGGTCACATTAAAGTGTGTAACTCCAAGGAGGGAAAGGAAGAGAGAGAAAGAGAAAGGGATTTGTGTGTGTGTGTGTGTCACAGAATGACGACAGTAAAGCATCAACTTGATGAATTCATTCGTGAGTGAGTGAGTAAGTGACTGACTGGCTAGTTGGTTGGGGTTGGCCGAAAGAATGACTGATGCATGAGTAGACGAAGAAGAAGACGGATAAAATCCCGAATAATAACAGTAATAATAATAATAATGATAATATATACATAAATATATAATGCATGCTGTGAGTAGTGTTGTTTCCGCCTTTAAGCATCCTTTTCATCACCCTGCCTCCTTATTACTTTTTTTTTCTATTTTTACTAATTCGCCATATTCTTATAAACGTTTACTTAAAAAGTGATAAGCAGCGACTAGACCAACTGCACCGACAGCTATTGTAGCTACACTTGTCAAAGCTGTACGCAGTGAACGCAGAGTTTCATCATCTGTGAAACCAGTCACTAAACCGATTAAACTGCCTGCATCACTTGTCGGCGGTAATTGATTAGCATCATGACGTTGTGATTCAAAATTGATTAAGCCTTCCTGTAAGATTAGATTAAGAGAAAGATGAGAAATGAAAAAAGGTTGAAGATAGATGAAATCAATGGAATTATTTAATTACTGATTGATTGATTGATTAAAATGATATCATGTTACAGACTAAGAGGGATGTCATTGTTTTTTTTTATAAGTTTACGTCCCCAGTGGGACATAGGCCTTCAAACTACAGGCCTGAAGTTTCAGTAGCAGTGAGTGTTTATTTTTACGGATGGAGTTACCAACCAGTCTCATGTCCAACATTCTCTCTTTGCCAGTTCTATTACTGGCTTAGCGAGGTAAAGGAGTGCGTCAGGAGCCGGGATTCGAAACCCAGACCAGATGCATGGCTGGTAAGCATTCTACCGCTGTGTCACCGACGCACTCAGCTCCCGATATATTTTGGGCAATATTCATAAATAATAATCAGAATAGCGGGAAGTGGAGCTCTTTTCCGAGCTTCAAATATGCCAAAATCATTTGTAAACACTAGATCAAGGCTATTTTCTGGTCGTGTCAAGACACTGACATTAATTTCATGACATAATGATGTAAGGAAACTGTAGTCACAAGAATTGAAGGCGCGAATAACTGTTGACGAGGATTTTCCAAGGGACGTGGCAACAAAGGAAGTAAATTCATCAGGGAATAAAGACAGCTCTAAGATACTATATCCAGTCAATTTTGTCATTAGAGAATCTAAAACATAAATTATTTGAAGTACATTATTTGAGAATTGATGAAGGTTGCTACGCCACCACCACATTTCCTTCTACAGCTAAACTGATGTTTATCTGGATAATCTGAAACCGTTTAAACTGACTAAGTGATCATCATATAACCCATGGAGCCAGATTTCTTCGAAGAGTTATAATGCGAGCATTATGAAATACATTGGTGGGCACAAAGGATTGCAGACAGCTAATTTTACCTGACAGGAAACAACAGTGTGCTCATAAACTCAGGAACAGTCATTTGATGTATTGGAATACGTTTTAAAGTACACTGCCACCCATTATGGAGCCTTTTCTTTAATTTTGTGGAAATCTGACTATCCCGAAGTTTTAAGTCTTCTAATTATGAGTGAGTGCAGGCGATGCGATTGCAGACAATAATTTTAAAAGATCAAATAAGTTAAAACACACTGGACACGATAAATTACATGCAATATAAAAATGGAAGGATATTTTGCGGCCCAAGATTTAAACAGGCTGCCGATTAGCCATATAAAAAATCACCACATAACTAATGTTCATCGGAAGTATATGCTTCTTACACCCAAAACTTCACGCATTTCACCATTACCGACTTTCTAAGACACTTTACAAAATAGAAATATTAACAATGCAGTTTCACAATAAGAGCCACTCTGATGACTATGATCCCTTGGAATTTAACAATGAGAAAAACACTTCTCCGTGACCACATGCAGTAAACCTAGTGAGAGACAGTCTACGGAGAGTTGTCATCTAACAGCTGTAATGGCAACCAGTGGTGTCCGTCAGGAATGTCCACTGACCCCGTTTCTGTTTAACTTGATCATAGATGTACTAATTGACTTAACCCCAAACTGACCTCAGCGACTCACGGATTAAATTGTTACCATCATCAGAGGATTACACCATTGACTTAGAATATGCAGGTGGTATAGTCTTCCCCCGTGCGTGAAGACGCTGACAAAATAGATCAGAGTCTTATGAACACCTTGAGCTGCAATCTGCGAATGTTCGGCATGCAACTCATCCCCATCAAATGTAAGATGATGATGTTACAGGACTGGACTACTAAATCGACTCACTGCTGTTGGCTTAAAGATAGACAGGAGTGAAGAGATGGCTGGCTAAGCTTTTTGACCAATTCACTTTTTTGGGAAGATGCATCAGCCAGCTCCAGAGGATTGGTCACTGACGAAATCTCAGCACGGATACAGAAGGCTCGTTTGGCACACGTCTGTCAGTTGACGTCATCTCTGGCTTAGTGGACGTGATATCCGACTAAACGTCGACCAAAGAACTTGTGTACGTATACTGCTCAGCAGTTCGCTCCGTCCTCGTATATGGCGGTGAGGAATACATGCCCACTGAAAGTGGAAGACATGAAAAGGCTGACTAGCTAGCTATATTTGATCATAGATGCCTGTGTTCTATCTCCCGTGTGATGTGGTGGTATAATAGGGTGAAAAATATTGAGGTTAGGCTTCAAACAAGTGCTAAGCGGCAGGTAAAGAGGGAAATAAGTCGACGAAGTTGTGAAGCATGCATGCCTATCCTAGCCTAGTCATCGATCGCCTTCGTTGACTGACGAACGATGTTAGCTGACACGTCAGTCAATAAAATCCACAACAGTTAATTAGTTTAAGCCAGCCAGCCATGTAGGGAAGTATAGACTGGTTAGGGTTCTTGGGATGGCAAGAACCAATGAACGCTGGAGACAATTGGTGGGTGATATGGCTAGCTCAAAATCATTTTCAGTCATGGCATTCACTCTTTGTGATTTATCATATCCAATAAAACTCTGCTGTTCTTCCATATTACTGTTCTTTTTCCCTCACTAACACTTATGTTTATTATCTCTCTCTCTCTCGCTCGCTGTCGTTTGAATCTCTTTTTACTATGTTCTCTTGATTTGTGTGCTACAAGGAGGAAAAGTGGCAACCAAAACTGGTGTACATCTGTGCAAAGTTCTACGTTGAAACTAATCAGTCAAAAATGAAATCCTGTTTTTTAAACCTGATGCATTTATTTACTTTGTTTTTGGAAGTTTTCACAATGATGTCAGTCAGTCAATCAGTCTTATTATACAGAACACATTTGGTCTTCTGTCAACATATAAACACATAAACATTATATGTAAGACAAAGACTGTCACCCCTGTTTCATGATTGTTTAACTTTCTGTCCGTCATCTGGTTTAACGCAGTCTAACAACAGTACACCACCATATGTGTGTGTGTGTGTGTACATATTATGGCGATAAGGGGCTAAGTTAAAATAACAACAGATAAATGTAGATGAGTCAGTGTGTTGCCTACGAAATACTCAGTGCTATAGACAACAAACAACACCAATATGACGCAACACATATTCACGAACACATACACTGAGTAAATAATAATAATAATACAAAGAATGCCTAATGAAAACGAGGTGTTCTCTTCTCCTCCCCCTCCTCTCTCATCTCAGATCTCCTTGTACCTTAGTGTCACATGGCTTGCTTAAACTAACTAACTGTTGTGGATTTTATCGACTAACATGGCTGTTGCCTAGGGCTAGGCCAGGCATGCATGCGTAACACATCTTCTAACCATCTCTGTCAATCGATGCGGCTGCTTCACAACTTCATCAATTGACTTCCCATCCTTACCTGTTGCCACTGGACCGAAGCCTTACCTCAAAATATTGCTCACCCTATTGTACCACTACATCACACGGAAGATAGAACACAGATACCTATGATCAAAGACAGCTAGCCTTTTCAAATTTTCCAATTTAAATGTCCATGTTTTGCTCACCAACACATAAAGGAGGACAGGGAGAACCGCTGGGCGGTATACCCGTCCTTTGGTCGATGTCCAGTCGGATATCACGTCCACTGAGTCAGATATGGCATCAATTAGCAGACGTGTGCCAAACGAGGCTTCTGTATTCGTGCTGAGATTGCGTCAGCCACCTACCCGCTGGAGCTGGCTGGTGCATGTTCGCAGATAAGTGAAGTGCCCAACAAGCTGAGCCAGACACCACTTCACTCCTGCTTATCTCTTAGCTAGGAGTGAGTTGATGTAGTAGTAGTAGTCTAGTCCACTCCAGTTCTGTAGCATCATCATCATCATTATCGTCTTACATTTGACAGTAGGAGAGAATCGCATACCAAACATTCGAAGATTGCTTCGCATGCTCAAGGTGTTCACAAGACTCTGCCCCATTGTGTCAGCGTCTTCACTCACGAGATTATCCTTTGGTGATGGTAATATTTCAATCTGTGAGTCACTGAAGTCAGTTGGGGTTAATTCTGTTAGTACATCTATGATGAAGTTCAACAGAAATGGGGGTCAGTGGAGATTGCTGACGGACACCACTGGTTGTCATTACAGGTGTTAGATGACAACTCTCCATAGGCTGGTTCTCAGATGTTTGACTGCATGAGTTCGAGTAGAGAGCGTTGATCAGTGGGATGTATATTGAAGAGATCCCTTTCACAGGCGAACATCGCTATAGTACCCCTCGGTCGACGGAAACGAATAGCACTTTTAGGTTGAGAAGTATGACAATTTTCGGCTGGTGATAAATATGGCTATGTTCCAGAATCTGACTATTATTAACACGGACACAATTTAGCGATCGATAAGAAGGAAATCTCATACAAAATGGGTCAAACTCTACGTCAAGGAAACAACCATCACCAATACCAATACAAGTAGTCTAGAAGGTGTGAAAACACACAAAAACAACCAATCGCGTCCAAGGTCACCCACTAGGAGAGATGACTAATAAACTCATTTGGAAATCTAAAAGCTCACTTCAACAAATTGAAGTGTATACACTGACGATGTTGCCTAGTAGTGCAATGAAAGCTTCGCAACTATTAACTATCCAGCTCAAAGAACACAACCTCATCAAAAATAACTTTTACCCAATGAGCACATTCATACGGAAGTAACACACATTACTGCTATTACAACACACACTACTTGATTGGTATGCTCTGACTTTATACTGATTTCACATGCTGAAAAATCGTTTGTTTTTTTATAGGATATTGATATAACAACACATACTACAAGAGGTCAAAATTCACACTTTACACTGAAGATTCAAGACAATTTTAAGCAATAATACACTGAACGGTGTTGATGTGTTTTAGTTTCATATTTTACAACAATGCAAGGCCTACAACCCCCCCCGCCACATGAAAGAATCCTTTCAAGAATGTTGTTTCGTGCTGCGTCAGTAGGTTATTATTCAAACCAGCCTAAACCAATTTATCATGTCAATTTTTTTATCGATTCATGGGGTGACAATGTAGAGACCGCAACCACTATTAAATATTCCAGTCGTTATCAAGATTCAGTTGACGAACCCAATTGGTTCCAATCTCGATGAATTCATTTGGAAAGTGGTAAAGAAGAAAAGACGCTCACTTTGAATTCTGCTCCTACTAACCGGTCATCATTATCATCTTCGTCATCAAATAAACAAGGTCAAAATTAAATTTAAGGTAACAACGAAGCACCCGCTCATTCAAGGGAGTCGCCGTCAATCAATCGATTAATCAATCACCAGAAGATGCCATGTAAAATTAAACAGTTCAACATTAATCCGATTTAGATTACAGGTGCTTATAGGGATTTGAGGTAATTTCAGTGTAGATTTCACCATCAATTAACTAACACGCGTTAGAGAGAATCCCTGAAGACTACAGAACACCAAAGTGGCCGTGTCATTCAGTTTAGGTGGGGCGCCAGTCAACGACCCTTACCAAGGATTCTTGGGTGATCTCTCCTAACTAATGTTGTGGTGACAGCTGGTTGCAAACCAATAATTGTAGACAGCGGTTTATGTCAATGTTACGTCCAGAATCGAGGTCATGAGAAAAAACAATGACAAAGCTTAACCTTGAAGGACTCACCAATCAATCACAACCGACCTAACATGTGCAAATCGGATTCACAGATGGATGGCTTAACTTTCTGAGAAACAGTCACAAGCAGTACAGAATGACCTTCAGCAACAAGACAACCAATCAGAAGACGATGCTTCTTCACTGACAATAATGTACATAAAAATCTATAAACATCTGTTGATTTTCTCAATAAATGATCTGTTGCCTGACCCTTGTCTACTGTCGTTACAACGTTAGTTTGTGACAAAATCTGCGCTAAAACCAATCATATTCATATAAATGGCATCTCTGTGTTTCAGATGCACATATACCGCTAACAAATGAACTGTAAAATTATTGAGAAAAATGTTCGATGCTTACCCAATTCCCATGAGATGATATCCAACTCCAAAGTTCTCGAGGACCATGGATAAATTCAGCTGTCCAGAGAACATAATCAGCTACACAAGGTCGCATAGATGGTGATAAAAGAAATTCTTTAATACTTGATTGATACTGTTCTTCAATTGATGAGATTTTTATTTTTTTATTTGGGGATTCACTACCATCATCATAACCAGTAGTAGTAGTAGTAGTAGTACTGGGTGTTTTGTAACTACATGAAGGAAATGATGAGTCTGAAGGCAGTACCTAGAGAAAAAAAGAGAGCTGATTAGTGCCAATGAAATGATGTATTATACAATCAATGTATATTCCAGAAACTGAATTCATAACATCTCGATGTGGTTTAAGCTTGTAGTAACAAAGTGAATCAAATTCAGTTTATGCCCAGAGGGAAATACTCAATTCATATACTGCTGTGGTATATGTTACTGATGATAAGATTTATCAGTGTAGTATAGTATATAAAGGGATGTTCATCGGCATAAAAATATCATAGAACAGGGAGGTAGATTTGACGTCAGGGAAAGCAAATGATTCAGTGTTGCGGATATACATGGAAAAAGTGACAGGAACACAAAGAAACACAATATGAAGGATGGGTAGAAGTAAACATCGGCTCCGATGGCTTGGACATGTGCTATAAATGTCATCCTAGAGGTTTTCGTACCGGTCTCTGTTCGCTAGACGTGGGATGGGATGGGAAAGGCAGAGAGGTGGCCAACGCATCACGCACGGAACGCCGTTGGGTGAAGGATATTTATGTTAGGTTAGCATTGGCTGGTGCGTCACAACTTCCCAGTATGAGTCCGAGAGATAGCTCGAGTGAGTCGGTGGTACGGAACATTATCGGATTAGTGTTTACTACTAGCCAAATGGAAGTGATCTGAACACTGAACAGTCGCTCGTTTGGAGCCAAGCTTATGCAGTACTGAATCCGGTTTGGTTCAGACACACAGAGAGATAGAGAGAGAAATCAGTTTAAAAAAATATGTGATCTATTTGATAGCATTAATGGTAATCAAGTAAACAAATATATACATGTATGATCGTATATACTATCGACTGACTGACTGATTCATGTGAATTCAGTTAGTTGAATACCATTCTCAACAGACAGTAAACTTTGCTTACATGATTTATTATTGTTATATTATTGCTCCCTTGGGTTCCTAGTGGAAAATAGGGCTTCAACTCCACCTCTCCATTTGCTTCTGTCTTTCTTCTGCTGTACTTCTCACCGGAATCCATGTTAGTCCATACTCTTTCAACTCCTCTTCACACGATCTCCTCCATGTCACCCTTGCACTGACGTCCCACTCGCCTCTTCCCTTTCGGGTTCCACTCAAGGGCTTGGCGCGCGATGTCACCCAGCGGCCTCCTCAGCCACGAGTGTCCAATCCATCTCCACTTTCTCCTTCATATTTGTTGGGCGATTGGTTCTTGTTTTGTTTTGTTAGTTCCCATAGTTTCTTGTTGGTGATTATTTCCGGCCCGGCCGGCCATCTGATCTTCAGTATAGATCCAGCGAAGACAGTTGTTGATAAAGGTCTGCATGCAGCAGGCCGTTGGAAATATTCTTTGTGACCCGCCAAGCGCCAAGTTTCTGATCCGTATCGAAGAACTGACTGACTTGATGTTTGTACTGAAAATCCCACCGAATTTTGTTGTTGATGCTGGCTGAGTGACGAAGATTTCCAGATTGGTTTCAGGTTGATGTGAATGTGTTTCTCGCCTTCCCAATTCTCGATTTGGCATCCTCGTCCGTTCCGATTGTCTGTAGTTGAAACAATGCCCCCAGATAAATGAATGATACATAATCCAGTCCACCACAATTAGGAATATCATTGGTGATAATAAGCACCCTTGCTGAGTTTTCCGTTGTGGATCACTTGACATGTGCCGTTGTCGTATAGCTGTTGAATAAGGTTGATGAATATTTCGGGTACGCCGTAGTACTCGAGTAGTTTCCAAAATTACTTCGCGGTCAACGCTGTCGAATGCCTTCTCAAAGTCTATAAAGTTGAGGTAGAGGTTTGATTTCCATTCCATGCTTTGTTAGATGACGATGATGCGCAGAGTTACAATTTGGTCAGAACATGATTTGCCTTTCCTGAATCCAGCTTGTTCTGCATCCAGTGCGTCCTTCCTTTTCTCCAGGATGATGCGACTCAGTTGCTTACATGATAAGCGAACAATATTGTTTTGAATTAGATCTTCTTCAGGCTTTACTCTTATTTACATAGATTCCTATGTAAAAATTTCAACCAATGATGGTGATTTTGTGGATCCAATAATACTACTAATAATAATAATGTGGTAAGTGTTTTGAACGTAGTTAATAACGATGATTATAATGATAACAAAATATTGATAATAAGGTTTATGCAGGTGGCGATAAGAATAACGAAGGTAGTGTGTATATGTGTAAATGTAAACAATTCAATAAATAAATTAGGTCAAATCTCAAAAGTTACGTAATACTAAACGTAGGTGAAGTGGACAGATAATCAGAGTTTAAATAAATATCATAAAAATACGAAGGGAGATGGAAAATAAAAAAGGGTGGGAGGATTTTAATTAGAATTTACTTAGGCGAAGCAAGGGAGAGACAAAGGTAGAACAAGCTTCTTTCGTATGCAAAGACTAGGATTGTTCCCTCGAATTAATTTCCATAGCTTCAGCTATGCGTTTGACAGTCGGGTTCGAATTCCGTTAGAAAGGCTAGATGGAATGCGACGGGTAACTTTGAAGGCACTATTTTTGTCCACTTGGTGACCGCTATCAATCAAATGAGTCAGAATAGAACTTTGTATAGATTTTATTTAGCATTTTCCGAACCATGAAGGAAGATGCTCATTAATACGTTTGTTGAGCTGCCCAGTTGTTCGCCCTATATAGCTGTCTGCACTAAACTTGTAGATACACATAGAAGTGACACAGCTAGGCAGCTTGTCTTTCGCTTGAGCAATCATAACTGGTTGACAGCTGGAAAATGACAAACAAAGGGTGGCGGCAGTATAAGTCCGTTTATATCACTCTCGATAATCTCAGATGTAAAACTTCACTAGCCACATCTCCTTTGAATTGCAATTTCATGAACAGTTGTTTCTTTTTAACTGTTGTTAGTTTCTCTTTATTATTGTACCTGGTGTTCATGTGTCTCCTTACAAATCTACTAGGATAACCCATTTCGATCAGAGTATTTTGGATGTATCCTAACTTATTCTCTAGGGTGTCATCTGACCAAATTGATTTTGTATCGGATTGGCACAAAACTGAGGAAATGTGTATATGTGGTGAGAGATGGCTGCTAGCCAAATTGGTAGACTGTAATTTACATTAATGTTTATGTCCCAAATATTAGTCAGGGGAAAACAAGAATAAAGACTGACAGCAGATTTTGCGTAGGCGGATACAATTAGCAGATATTTTATTTTTTTATTTTTGATTACAGCTTCATTCCACACCGTATTTTTGGTATAAGTATGGAATTTTCAGCATGGATATCGGTAGCCCAAATTTTCAGGCCAACCATTGATATCAGGTGTGTGTCGACAGGGGATCGAACCCCGGACACCTGTGTAACACGGGGCAGTAGTCTCCTCCATCCTTCTTTACACGCCTGTAACAGCCACTGAAATTGGGAGATATGAAGACACCAATAATCTTTGACCAAAAACTGACAGCACTCCATTTCATGTGTAAAATAATGTAGTACAATTATGAAAAATGATGTTTTGCGAAGAATGTTAAGTAAAGAGGGGCAACTAGTCGATAAGGTTGGGAAGCTGCATCAATTGAAATGGCTAGGACACGTGTTATGCACAACGTTGAGGTATTGTCTTCCTCATCCAGCTATGTTGGCTAATGCAGGAAGACTGAGTTGAAGAGTTTGGGGGTGGTCAAATCGAAACATCGAATCACAATCCTTGAGGACTTTAACTTTTGATTTGATCTTACAATCTAACATAGCTAATTCTCCTTGTTCATTTTCTGATTCAAATGTGAATTTTATTCCCTCAACTTGTGAGTTTATATGTGTCAAGAAGCTAGAGATGTGTTCTGTTTTTAACACTGTGAAAGTGTCATCCACATATCTCCACCATATTTTCGGAGTAGGGTGATCCCATTGCTACACCTTCTGTTTGTCTATATATTTTGCCTTGGAACTTAAAGATAGTAGATGTGAGGCATAACTGAATCCCTAAAATAATTTCTTCAATGGACAGCTTTGTCCTATGACTGAGTTCCGGATCCGCAGTTAATTCTTTTTTAACTGCTTCTAAGGCCATATTAACTGGTATATTAGTATAAAGACTAGTTATATCAAAACTAACCATTTTTTCATCATTTTCTAGTTGAATGTCATTTAGCTTACTTTTCATCTCATATGAATTAGTTAGTCTAGAGTTTGAGCGATTTCTAATGGGACAAAGTATTAGAGCTAAGTGTTTTGATAATTCATAAGTGGGGGTATTTCTAAAATCTACTATTGGTCTTATGGGGTAACCTGGTTTATGTATTTTAATAGTACCATATATTCTACTAGTATTATTAGTTTTAGGCATTAAAGTAAACCATTTAGACTCACCCAGTGACGGCTTCATTCTCCGTAATAATTCCGCTGTAGATTTCTTTACCTTATTCATTGTTGTATCTACAGGCTTCTTAATTTCCTCATATGGACCCGTTTCAATATGTTCACTGACTTTCTTGATATTGTCAGATTTATTCAGAACTACGGTGGCGTTTCCTTTGTCCGCTTTTGCGATGACAATGTTTTTATCCTGTTTTAAACTAATTAAAGCTTCCCTTTCTGATTTTGTTAAGTTTGATCTTGCCTTCTTTTGATTTTTCAGGGTTAACGCACATTGTGCTCTAACTTCTTCTGCTGTTGTCTTGTCTATTGAACCTAGTGCTGCTTCTATGTTAGGAATAACGTCCTTTGGTTTTAATTTATTAACTGTTACGTTAAAATTAAGTCCTTTCTCAAGTACTTTTATCTCACTAGAGCTTAGTTCTCTTGATGATAGGTTGATCACCCACTTTGTTCTGTCGATAGAGGATGAAGTGTTGACATCAATTTCATTTGTTGTGTTCTTTTCTTCCATTAGTTTGTTGAATTTTTTGATTTGTGTGGTTTTTGATTTTCTTAAGGCTGATTCTCTAGCTTTTTCGGATGTTTCAACAACGATTACATAATCTTTGTCATTGACCATACATTTGAGTTTCTGTTTGAGTTTTTCGATTTCATTTCGTATATTATTTAGTTTCACAGTAACTCGATGTAGTTCTTCTCTTAGACATAATCTACTGAGATGTTCAGCTGCTGATGATATTTTCCTTCGATTCGATGGCCAGTCCATGAATTCTAACTTCTACTAATTCTTGACTTAGCGCGACCACCAACCATTGTCGTTGGTGGGATATCCATCCACACACGCACGTGATATCTAATTGGACCTCACTGGTCACGACTTCTCACTAGAACCCGAGGAAACTCCAACCTGTATCAAGTCACTAGCGATGAAGCCTCAGATTAATTTACTATAGTTTGATTCCATTATAAATAAGATTTTATTTTGATAAATCGCACAGTGTTAATCGCACAGTTAAATGTTTAACAAACCGAGCAGTGGCACTAAGTAGCACAAAAAAAGATCTAAATGATGAATTAAAACAGATAGAAGAAGCGTTGGTGTTGAATAACTATCCTATAAAATTCATTAGGAAGATCATTAAAGGCCAAAAACAAAATAAAAATAATTGTGAAACTAGTAATAATAACATAAATAAGAAAGAATATAAGTCATCCACAGTTATACCATATAAAGAGGGGACATCGGAGACACTACGTAGGATTCTGAATAAAATAGGAATTAGGGTGGCATTTAAACCTACAAACTCACTCAGGGACAGGCTCTGTAGGTTAAAGGACCCAGTTGACCCAATTAGACAAAATAATATTATTTACAAAATACCATGCAATGACTGTGAGGTCAACTACATAGGTCAAACTAGTAGGTCAGGGGTAGTCAGATTGTCAGAGCATAAAAATTTAGCTAAGGTAAGAATGGTTGACCCCGAGAAGATAAATAATTTAGAAAAAAGCTCAGCAATCGCAATGCATGCGTTAACACACAACCACACAATAGGGTGGGAGAGGGTTAAAATTCTAAAAAGTAATCTAGGTAGGTGGAGAGAGAGGTTGATTACTGAATCCTTGTTCATCGAGTCTACACCCAACACATGCAATAGGAATGACTCATCACTCATACCTGAAATATGGAAAATACTATTACCAATCAAATCAAGTGAAAATCAAGAGAAAAACAATGGAACTATATAAATGAATTTAGGAAGTCGTGTGATTACCTTGATATGATTATGAGCAATAAATTGTGCTCGAAACGTCATCAGTAAACATTACTGTAAACACTGTGCGATTTATCAGAATAAAATCTTATCTATAATGGAATTATACTCTACCACAGTGCCCAAGTTTTATACTTATATAATTTAAACTGTGTTACTATCTGTTAATTTTGTATTTCCTCTCACCATGCTGCTATATCAACAGAACATTAGATCCAATAATCTATAAAATGCTAAAATTTCCTAACTGAATCGACAATACTATTTGAAACAAACTCACTGTTATTATTATTACTGTATTTAATATTCTCAATTCGCACTTCGAATATTTTTGACAGTATATCGTAAACGTGGACAAATTCCTCTGGTTAATTTTGTTTTAATTTTTAATTTTATTTATATTTTGAGTAAATCAGATGCAATATTGTGACAAATGCTGAGAATTCCATTCTGTATTATAAGTGCTGTTTTTGGTATAAAGTAAACTATTATTACTATTAATAACGGAAACGTGCGTTGGTGGCATAGCGGTTAGGACGCTCGCCGACCATGCACATGGTCCGGGGTTCGATCCCGGCCACCAACTCACTCCTTTACCTCACTAAGCCAGTAATAAAAATCTGGTGAAGAGGAAAGGTTGGGCATGAGGCTAGCAACTCCATCCTGTGAAATAAACACTGCTACAGAAACTTCAAACCACTAGCTTGAAGCCCTATGTTCCACTGGGGAACGTGAAGGAAAAAAAGAAGAATTAATAACGGAAACTAATCGATGATAACAATAAATTAATATATATGACATTATGAAGAAGAAACTAACCTGTGTATCATAACTTGATGTGTCAATGACATTAGAAACTCGTTCATTTACTGATGTAGATGATTCATTCGACTTTGAAAGTGTACTCGCTTTCGATGAAGATGATAATGATGATGTTATCCGTTGATTGGCTTCAACAACTTCACATAGTGCACGTAGAAATGCTAACATTGCAATAATACGACCCCAATTAATACGTTCATTGAATAATTCTTCAAGTACACTATGAAATTGACATCTTGACATTTCTAAACAATTATTTAATGAATTGCTGTCTGTTATTCGACTGTTATTATTACCATCATCATTATCATCATCATCACTAGCTCCAGCAATATCATGACTACTTCTCATATTACTATCTTCGGGTTGTTTATTGTTATTATTATTATTATTGGTAGTAGTAATATTGTCATTTCTATTTACAGTGTCTTCATTCATTAACTCAGCAGTACCTTCATGTTCACGATTACCGACACTTTCTGTTTCGTTAATATTGACACTTCTGCCATTATTATTATTATTTAAACGTGCTACATCCTCCAACAGGCTACCCAATTTATCACGATATCTTGATTCAAAATGATCAGCTAAATTTCGAGCGGATAGAATTAATCGTGCTGTAATGAAGGTTGTAGGAGTTTTTATTGATCCTACAGGTTGTGATGGATAATTTACACATGCTGACGAGCAGGAGGCCGAGGAGGAGGAGAAGGAAGAGGAAGGAGACGATATTTTCGTGATTGTATCAGTAGTAGATGTTCCAACACTAAACGGTTTATTGATTTTTGATCCAATTTCAGTTGGGAGCTGGAAAGTACAATTATACGAAGATAGGATGAACGAATACAAGTGTAATCTTGTAAGACAAAAAGCTGATTTACAGTTGAGTACTAGCCAATTAAAAGGTGAGTGATAATAGATTCAAATACAATGACACTAGCGGTTACCAGAAAAATTATAACAATTTTATTCATAATGGTAGAGAACTCAGTTATCCGGAATACTCACAACGGTTGTTGTGTAAAGACTCATGATACTATCACACAGTTGTCTAACAAGACTGAAGTGAACAGAGAGGGACTCGAAGACGTGGCCTATTAGACGTAAATCCATTCCATAAGCCAATGGGGCCACATTACATTTTATTCGTACACAAACGAAATATTTGAGGATAGTAATTGGTGAACGATAAGTAATATACTTTTTATATGAATTTCACTTTAAAGAATTAAAGAAAAACTGCATAATTTATTCTCTTCTAGCAGTTTAACTGCTCTTGTGGAACCAGTTACACTAGGTGTACAATTGGACATATTCGTCATCGGGATTACTCAAAATAATCATTATCCACAATTAAACAAGCTCCATTTCGACCAACCTTGTAAATATATTGAAGATAAAATCAAGGTTAACAAGGCTTTTAAAGTTATCTACCGTATGTTAACTGCCCTTCGGTTTGCCTCACGGGTTTTTCTTTTACATATACAGCTGAAGCTACTGGAATCCACCTGAAAAAGCTGAACTTATGTACTTAGAAGTTCGTACGAATGCTTCCCCACCCCCGCCTCGTTACCTTGGCTGTCATTACTTGATAATAAAAGTCTGACAGTTTCCCTTTCCGCATAAGCCTTTTACAAGCTATTATTGTTTTAAGTATCTTTGTCATATAAATGTTCTTCTTAATCTTACTTGATATTGGTTCATACAGTTGCCCCATGGGCTCTGAGGTCACGCAACACTAACTGTCTTTCTGTTTCAGGCACCCGAAGAATCACTCAACTCCCACAGTGTAAGCAGACGGGAAGTAACACCCGCCCGCACACTTCCAGAAGCACATGAAGCCCTCCTGGCATCATTTTCCTTTACCCACATGATCTTCATCATCCTACTTCCCTAATATAGTCACTGCTATTTTGCAGGCCAGCCAGTCATCATCATTTCACTCTGTGACCACAAATAGCGATGAGAGCCTCTTAAAGCCATGCCACCGACTTCATATAGGTGCATTCAACGTCAGGACCCTCTGCCAAATCCATCAACAGGCATCACTAGTAAGAACTCTTGCATCTCGAGCCATTAATGTATACTGTGTTTCGGAGACACGCATACAAGACCCGAATGAGGTCATTCATTTAACCTCATCCGGTCAACAAAGTGAATCTGCGAAATTCACCTTAAGGATGTCAGGAGATTCCTCAGATAGTTCGCGAGGACTAGCAGGTGTAGGGTAGCATTGAGTGTTAGGGTGGAAAAATCCCTTCTTGACTGGACCACAGTAGACAGTCGTATGTGTGCGGTTCATCTGAAAGGGTTCGTTAGAAGGAAGGACGGTGTTACCCCTCATTCATAGTCTCCGCTTACGTCCCAACAGACTGCAGTTTGAATTAACTCAAGAACGATTTCTACCCGTTGTTTTAGCAAATGATTTCAATATCCAAGTAGGGAAGTTTTGCCAGACTGAGAAGTATGTAGGTAATACGTATGGAGTTCCCCGCCGATGAACCGACAACGGTAATCGTCTTCCACAGCTCTGTTTCAGATAATCATCTGTTCTAGTCAGCACTGACTTTAGCCACAAAGAGAGACATTGGGTAACCTGACTACCTCCGTCACCAAATCACCGTTTGGACTCAGATAGACCATATAGCGATAGGGTATTCTCGGCGACGGTCAGGAGAACACTGCCACTCCTTCTGGATACGTTGAAGCCAGACAGTCGGTAAGTTAGTTACTTGATATTCGACTTATTGATATTTTTTATGCCTTACACTTGATTTTGAACTGTTAATTCTGTTGACCATAACAACTCGATATTATTCAAGGCATATCACAGTATTGTCAATAACAGTAGTAGCTAAATGAGGAAGTTATTGAAAAGGATAATTTTCTTTGCAGCTCAATTTCTTCATCTTTGATGACAAGATTTCATCATGAGCTGACATTGGTTGGAGAACCACTGGAAAACCTGGGAGTACTGGACAGGTGTTTCGTCCCAGTTTGGCACTATTCAGCTGTACGCACCCACCGGGGTTCGAATCCAGGACCTTCTGGTTACAAGGCGAGCTCGTAGACCATTAATCTACTGGGACCCGATCCAATGGCCCAATGTGACTGTTAGTCAGTGTCTTCGACGAGTATTTGTCCTCACACCCGACCTCCTGCACCCTACTGGTGATCTTTGTCTTCCAAAAAGAAATCTATCAATTATAATTTCTGTATAACTGTCAACTTAATTAACTCTATATTACAATACACATACTAATGAAAGGCAAACACGAAGAAACAGGCGACTAGGAAGCAATACCATAAACCAAACCAAAGTAACAGTAAAAAGTAAACATCAACATTGAATAATACGAAGTTGAACGTTAATCAGAAAATGACTTTTGCACAACACTGCAAATATACACTAGGCGTTATATTTTATCAGTTGACTAGTATTAACATCCACACTCACAAGTACCAGGTAAACACAGTTCATAACAAATTATAATGGCGAATACACTAGATGGTTTAAGGTACAGAGAAAAATACAGATGTCAATCAAGCTTGGGGAAGTAATCATTATTCACTCACGTGAAATAACACTAAGATTTACGATAAAATGTGAAATAAATCTATAACTACAAGCCTACTCTTCACCGTAAACTACTAAATTCTACAAAAACCAAAAATGGTCAAGTTATACTTTAAGCACCAGTAAGTACAAGTGGAGTGTGACGTTCTGTCTGTCTGTTTTCGACATAGAACTTTGCACATATGCGCGACAGTTCAAGTCACCACACTCCATGTAGAACACAAAACAAGAGAAGAAAGTGGAAAAAATGCATAATAGAGACAGTAGACAGAGGAGTGAGACGAAGGAATAGTATTAACGAAGAACAATATAGTTTCATAGGAAATTATGTCACAAGGTGTGGATGCATCTGCGCTAGCCATTGAGAACGATCTTGAGCCATATCACCAATCGTCTCTAGCCATTGGTTTTTGCCGTCCCGAGGACCCCAACCAGTCAGGAAGTCTACACCTTCCCACGTGGCTGGCTTAAACTAACTGTTGTAGATTTCATTGACTGGTGAAGCCATGTTTTGGTTTGACCACCACCAGCTTTCTCCTTCCCAGCCTGACCCTATGTCAGCTAACATTGCCCGTCGAAGAAGGCGATGACTAGGCATACGTAACACATGTCCTAACCATTTCACTCAGTGGATGTAATTTCACAGCCTCGTCGATAGATTTCCCCTCCTTACCCAGAACTCGACCGAAGCCTAACCTCAATATTCCTCACCTTATTATACCACCACTTCACACGGGAGATAGAACTTAGGCACCTATGATCAAAGAGAGCTAGCCTGGATTTTCATGTCTTCCACTCTCAATGGCCAAGTCTCACAGCTAGCCATGAAGGAGGACGGAGCGGACTGATGAGCCGTACACCCGCGCTTTGGTCGATACGAGTGTGACCTTACCAATGGCCTTGAAACGCTCATTGAGCAAGTAAGTGAAACCTGGTAAATAATATTGTGATCATGAATAAAGTATGCTTATTGAAATGTTATGTTATTAAATGGGATATCTGGCAAGTCTCATCAGGTTAGGTCTGAGAAAGTTAAGTTGTGGTTTAGGCTACGGACAGGACACGTTAGGGTTGGGTCAACCTATCGAGAGCCACAGTAGGTTCCGTTTGGAGATATTTTAAAGTCATGGTTAGCTTAAGGAAAGATTAGGGTTAGAAGACTTAGATAATTACATATATAGAATGTAGTTAAACTAGTCTGTTGACACTCCAATACAAAACAGAGGAATTTCTGTCACAACGTCAGAGAAAGGTACCCTTTGTAACAGAGTTCCATGCCTTTTAATTCATTGTTTATATGAATTTATACGTATGTATTTTATGCGTAGGAATCGCCTTTACCACGTGATTGGTGCATTCAAGGTCATTTGTTCGTTGCTACTTACGCTACTGGTGCTTAAAGTTTAACTTTGCCATAAAAGAATAAACAGACGACCACGTGACATACATGAGCATATCCGATAATGAGGACGAATACAAGCAAAATAAAGGAAAACAACAACATGATTAACTGATGATGATAATAATAAAATATTGTTTATCAAATGAATGTCGAGAATAAAGGCAAGCAAGAAAAACACAAGACTGTACACGTGCATACACACACACACCGATATATAGATACTGATGCGAGAGGAAATAAATTTCACTTCATCTCTGTACTAGTGGTTTTCGCTGAATCATTATTTCGCATACACTTCAATAGGTTGATTTCTACCATTTTTCTTACAGGATGCATCATTTCACTATTAAACTGTCGAGTTGTCACGTATTAATTTAGGCGCTCGGCTTTCAACCACTGTGCTGTGTCACAGATTCAAATCTCCCCCCACCCTTCCACCTATTGAGGTTTGATTAGCCTCAGGTACTATTGCACAATAGGAGTGGTTCATTGCCAAGATAGAACTTGCAACTGGTTGTTGAGTAACATTTCATTTTCACTTCATATAATTAATAATAACAATAATAATAATAATAATAAAGTAATACGAATATTAATGGATGTATAATGTCAGTGTAGGTTTTCAATATGTTAAATATTCTCATACTGAAATTTAGAACATATTTAAGCGAACAATATTGTTTTCAATTAGATATCTAGCCGACGCAAACGAAGGATAAGCTAGATAGTTTTGCCACATCTGCATGTATTTATCAATTCAACTGTGCTCCTGCAGTGGCAGTTATGTTGGGTGTACTACTAGCCGCCAACTAGCTTAGCCAACCAACG